TGTCGTGTCCCAGCTGCTGCACTGAGGGGTTTGCAGATTTGGATGCATGGTGAAGTCACTCCATGCAGTGAAAAGCAAGGAGTGGAGTTTTGTTCTCTCTTTTCTTGACGGTTTGTTTTTTGGTGGTGCTTTGTTTGTTTGTTTGTTTGTTTGTTTTTTTCCTCTCTCTGATACTGAACAAACATTATTTGCTCAGCAAATGTTTATTGCTATAAAAGAAATGTGTAAGATGACAGCGTGTTGGGAAGGAGGTAGCACAAGGTGACTGCAATTGAAGGTTCCTTGTCTGTGTACCTTAAAGACAGCAAGAGTTCCCCTTGTGAATAGAAAAAAGCTGCAGTTTTACTCCAAGGCTCCCCAAAAGGTGTAACCCAAGGAGAGCAGGACTCTGAGACAGTTGGCCAGATGGATTTCATAGGGAATTAGGCTTCACCTGAGTGCTGCTGTGTGTTGCTGGAGGGCCATGGGCAGCAATGGGGCGGCTGGCAGCTGTGTGCAATTGTAGGCTTGCTGGGTTGCTGATGCAATCCACTTGTTGGTTAGAAAACAGGACGACAGGCTTGGAGACAAGCATACAGCAGTGAATTTCCTTCAGCATAGGGATGTTACACCCATTGTGGGGAAATTGTGTGTTCATAAGAGGGTTGCCTGCCTGTCTGGGGGTTGCCAGCAACCAGAGCAGCCCAATGCAGAGCCATGCCGTCCTCACTTGCTCTCCTGGATTCTCAACAGTGGAAAATCACTGGGATACAGGATCACCCTTGCCAAACTCCTCTGCCTGTGGTGTTTCTGGAATGATCTTCGCTCTGGTGCTGCTGCTCAGTGGGAAAGAGACAGCATGCAGGGGATAACGTGCCCTTGTTGGGTTTCCCCTTGCCTTGGACCTACTGATGGATCACATAAACGCAGCCTGCTGCGTTCCTGGGGGGTGGTGTGAGCACGGGGGGCTGTAACAGCCCCAACGTCCCAGACTAAATAGATGATAGAACAGTTCCTTGATAACCAGGATTCTTCCAGAGGGGAGGACGGTGCCTGCAGGCAGCTCTCACTGCATAGAAGTCAGTGTGCTTTAACTCTCAGAAGCGAAGTCCGTTAGGAGAGATCTCAAAATAGCAGTGCTGTGGCTGCAGTAACGCTGCGGGCTGGGGCTGGATTTTGGAGAAATAGGGGGGAATCTACGGGGCTACGCCTGGCACTGCGGGCAGGGAGCGCTCCGCAGCACAGCTGGCACCGGAGAACTCCAATTTGTGCAGCTCTTCTTCAATTTAGCGCGGCTCCTTCCTTTCTTTAGCCGCCGTTAATTAAAAAGCAGGACAAAACCCATCTTCTGGCAGCCTCTTCAGGACGTGTTTTTCAATGCCACGCTGTTGCGTCCCTCCCTGTGCGCGTCCTCAGTGCAGACTTTATACAAGCAGCGCTTTGCTTCCCCCCCCAACCCCCCCCCTTTTTTTCCCTTAATCACTGGCGATCCCGGCCCCAATTACACGTCCTGCGGAGCCGCAGATACCGCTTCCCCCCGCCCTGCGAGCACAAGGGGGGGTCGGGGCGTGGGTTCGCTTTGCAGCACTCTGCAATTCGATGTCCTGCGGCGGAGCCAGCACCCAAAATTAGCTGTGCTGCGGGCGGCGCCCGGCCAGAAAAAGAGCTATTTTGGGGTCCTGTCACCCACAAACGGGGCATCTTGGGCAGCGCCGAAGGGCCGAGCCCTCGCCCCGCCCGGGCGCCGTTTGGGGTGAATTGCCGCATTTTTGGGTCCGAGCCTCGCTGTTGGTTTTTTCTTTTTGCAAAGCAGTGCGAAACGGCGAAGCTTCTCGGAGATTCAAAAAAAAGAAAAAAAAAGAAAAGAAAAGAAATAGGTTCTTGTTGGTTTATTGCTGGTTTTGCTGTAACTTTTTAGGAGCAAAGTCACGCTACGGCCGCGCTCCCTGTGTGCTGGTGCGCGTCCCCGACGTTTATTTGGGGAGGGAAACGCGGCTCTCTGCGCCCCCGCCCGACGGGAAAGGGGTGGGACTTCTGTAAGCCCCGCCTCCTTGCTGCGCACAGAGCGGGCTGCTATTGGCTGCGTGGGCGATGACGTACGCGCACTGCGGCTGTCCCGTGGCGCCGCGCCGGGGCTTCGTTTGCGTCGCCTTAAAGGGGCCGCGCTCGCGGCAGTCCCGGCAGCGGCGCCGGCCGCGCGCCGCTCCCCAGTCGCTGGTGTCTGGCTGTGCTCCGCCGCTCTGTGGGGTGAACCGGGCGCTCCCGGGAGGTTCCGACCTGGTAAGGAAGCCCTGGAGGCTGCTCAGACATGAGTCGGCACCGGTACGGCTGCTGCCGGTACCGAGAGGTGCCGACTCCAGTAGGAGGCTGCGAGGAGCGATGCACAGGGACGGCTGGCACCGGTACCGGGAGATGCAGGCGGGTACCGGTACCGGGAGGTGCCTGCTCCGTGACGGTCTCCAATGGCTGGTGCGACCGGTGCCGGGAGGTGTCAATCTGGTAGCGCTGGTGCCGGTACCGGGATATGCTGGTATAAAGCAGGAGCCTTCAGGCACCGATCATGCGTGATCCAGCCCCATTGCGGCTGTCACCCGTACCGACAAGACCCGAGGAGCAACCACGCATCATCCGGCACCGGCCCCGCTCCGTGTGCCGGGCGGTTCGGTCCTGGCAGCTCCCTGTGCCGCTCCTCTGCATGCGCCCCTCGCCAGCCCCATCCCCGGGGAGCGAACTGCACTCCGGGAACCGATTTTGGGTACCGCGGAGAACCGGCTGTCTGCCGTCCACCGCCTCGCAGGTGTAGCATTTTGGGGCTAAAACAGCCTGCTTCGGGTTTGCTGCTTGTTGGTTTGGTTTGGTTTGGTTTTTTTGCAGAGAGAGCAGTGCTTTGGTGACGGCGCTTTGAACTGCGTCGTCCTCTTACTGTCGGACAGGGGGAAAAAACAAATGTATAAAATGAACCGTCCCCATGGGCGGTCCCCAATGGATCATCTACCAACGGAGGGTGCTTTCCTCTCCTTTGCTTTTGGGGCAGCAGCACTTTGTTTTCTGCTTTTCCTTTAGTACGGGTTTACGGGCTGAGCAAACAAATTCGGCGAAGGTTAGCGGTTGGGTTTGGGGCTTAAAAAAGGGATATATTGTCTGTTCCAGAAACATCAGCTAAGCTTCAAATCATCAAAACCGGAGGTGTGGGGGTAAGCAGGGCGATGGAAGTGTGCTTGGGCAGGTGGGAGATGTCCCAGTGCCCCTCAGTGTGCCAACAGGTCCTGCAGCAGTGCTGGCTGGGTGGGTGCAGCACTGCGCTGCTCTCAGCCGGCGCCGTGTCCTGGGCTGAACCCGAAATCATGGGATTAAGCTGTAAATCCCACAGCCGGGCAGAGTTCCCCTGGGACACACAGCGGTGACCGCTCCGCGGAGATAACGAGGGTGGCAAATGTCGTTGGGTTCCTGTGGGGGGCGGGAGGATGCTTGAGGGGGATGGGAGGGATAGAAAACATCGAGATTTGGGGGATAAATGACCCGGAGAGATTCATCTGCGTGTGACACCAACAGCTCCCTGCTTTTATCGGGGACATTTTCACCCTCGTCTCGAAATTGAGTTTCTTTAACCCTTCGCTTTCGGTGCTGTTAACGAACCAACGTCTGTTTCGTTTTCCAGTTCCAACCTTCAGACTTTGAATAATGTTAGGAAGCACGGCTGCTTTAATTTTATTTCGGAAGGACTCCTTTCTTTTTGCAGAAGGTGGAAGGACACTCTCCCAGGAAGCAGCTGCCCGGTGAGTCATCTCCACGTATAAATAGCACTGGTGGGAGCGGTGCCGCGGTTTGCTGCTCGCAGAGCAAAGGGGTGCAGTGCTTCTCTTTAGATGGAGAAAGAAAGCATCCATCCCTGAGGAAATCCTTGGTCTTTGTGCACAACGTAACTCCAGGACTTCAGCTTTTAGAGCTGCCTGTAAGCTGTCATCCGTGGGGCTTCATGCAGCTCTGTTCCAAGGCTCTTTGCTGCTGTAATGCGTCCTTAAAGCTCAGACCAAAATGATTTTGGCACCAATGTAGAATATAAAGAAAAAAGTCACAATTAATCTTCCGTGCTGTTTATTCTGTTTGTTTTGACTCGAACCTGAAGATCATGGTGGTGAATTTCAGCCCCAGACTGGCTGTGGCTTGATTTGGTTTTAAATGATTCCTGTGAATAAGCACCATCTTTTGGTGGGTGCTTACAAACAGAAAGTTGGTTTGGACAACCTGAGGTTGTGGGAGAACCAGATTATGGCAGAGCAACTGGATAATCTTCAAGTTCCTTTCCAGCCTAAGCCTTTCTGTGATTTGTTGTGGCCAAAATAACCCGGTGCTGGCCTTAAAACAACTCAATTCCCAAACAAATCCCCTACAGACCAAAAAAAAAAAAACCTCTTCATAAAATGACGCTGACATAAAAAAAAGAAAATCATTGAAATCCTCCTCGATTCAGCCAGCAAACCATTAAATTGCCCACGTCCCATTGTGTTATTCCTCCTGCCCAGGTCTCCCACCAGGCTGAACTCTGAGTTTTGACATTCTGAGGTTTTCTGTCGCTCTGTTTTTCTCCCCACACGCTGCAAGAGGTTGGCAGGATTGCAGATCCAGGGCTGTGCCTGCACTGCGGGCAGCAGGCTGGCACGACTCAACCAGAGCTGCCTGCGCCCTTCTTTGCCTTCCAAGATAATTGCTCCATTTAAAAAAAGCAACCCAAACTAATTAGACTGGAAGAAAATCAGGACGATTTTTGGAACGGGATGTTGTTGCTGGGTTGGGTCTTTTCATGTGTGGCACAGCCTGAGTGCTTGGGAGAGCTAAGAGGGATCAGGAGCATTAAGTGGTCCCTGCCCACTCACGCTGCTCCCTACAGAGTCATTTAATTCTTCAGCTCCTGATACAAAAGGTCATGAGCTTGGGAGTTCAGTGCAGGACACGGGCACACAGCGTGCTGCACGTCTGTGCACATCACATCCATTAACCAGCATCACCCTTATGGTTTGCAGGGAGGATCCCAACACAGAGAGCCCTGAAAGAGACCTTCAGCAAAGTGGTGCTTGAAGAGTGATGCTCTCAAAATGAAAAGGTGCTGTGAGGGTGTTGGGCTGCCATGCCTGTTTAAGGTCAGTGTGATTCTCAGTGTTTTCACCTCTCTGTCTCTTCTCAGGGTCAGGGAGCAGAAGTGAGGTCCCTGTCCTGCGTGTCTGATTGGTGGCAGGCGGTGAGCGGGGGCTGCTGGGTTTGGCACTGGGCCTGGGCTGAGGCTGTCCAGCTCTGTGTGTTGTCAGCAATGTGGTTTTACTTTGGAGAGAAGGGTGGACCGCAGCTCTGAGCCCAACCCAAAGGGAAACCATATCCAGGTGACAGCAAAAATTTAACCTGCAAAATCTTTTCCAAGGAAAAGCCAGACTCATCCTCACGGGAATGGCAGCAAGAGGGGTTTGTTTGCAGGTACTCAAATCCTTTCACACAAGTGTGATGTGAGTGGGATGGGGAGCAAACTGCCTCACCCCTTCCCCAGCCCATGGAACCACGCCAGCAATGTCCCCATGTCCCTTGGGAGGACGTGTGTCAGTCCTTGGCACACTGACCACCTTGTCTGCAGAACAGGGATTAGCAGTGGCAAAGTGATCTCTTTATAGGAAGGATAAACACTCCAGGGTCAGGGCTGAGGTATGTCAGCAGGGGATTACCCCCAAGGTCCCCAGCTGGGTTAATGAGCTACATGGCAAAACGAGGGCAGGGATAATTTGGCAGAGAAATGCCGCTGTGCAGCGCTGGCAGCCTCTTGTCCTGTGTTTGTTGCCTCTGGCTCCAAAGCCAAACGCTCGGCTCACTATGGGCGCTCTTCTTCCCCCCGCAGGGTGTTGGCATGGCCAACTCCCGGCCTCCCAAGTACCTCCTGGTCTTTGATTTCGATGAGACCATCATCAATGAGAACAGCGACGACTCCATCGTGCGTGCAGCACCGGGGCAGGCGCTGCCTGAGCACATCCGACAGAGCTTCCGCGAGGGCTTCTACAATGAGTACATGCAGCGTGTCCTGGCCTACATGGGGGACCAGGGCGTCAAGATGGGGGACTTCAAGGCCGTCTATGAGAACATTCCCCTGTCTCCAGGCATGCCTGACCTCTTCCAGTTCCTCTCCAAGAACCACGAGCTCTTTGAGATCATCCTCATCTCCGACGCCAACATGTTTGGCATCGAGTGCAAACTGAGGGCAGCCGGTTTTTATTCCCTCTTCCGTAAAATCTTCAGCAACCCGTCCAGCTTTGACAAGAGGGGTTACTTCACCTTGGGGCCCTACCACAGCCACAAGTGCCTTGACTGCCCAGCCAATATGTGCAAACGCAAAATCCTGACGGAGTACCTGGCCGAGAGAGCGCAGGAAGAGGTGGAGTTTGAGAGGGTGTTTTACGTTGGGGATGGTGCCAATGACTTCTGCCCTTCGGTGACTTTGACTTCAGCTGACGTTGCTTTCCCCCGGAAGGGCTACCCCATGCACCAGATGACCCAGGAGATGGAGAAGAAGCAGCCTGGAGCTTTCCAGGCCACTGTTGTTCCCTGGGAGTCAGCTACCGAGGTTGCCCGCTATCTGCAGGAGCTCCTCAAGAAGAAGTGCTGAGGATGGATGGCTCCAAAGAGGTTTGTTTACGACAAACAGCTGGGAAGGGAGAAGGCTGGAAGGTCACGTCCTGCACCCCGTGTTTATTTGGCACTGCTCACTTGGACTTTGATTCCTGGACTGCTTTCCTGCCTTCCTCTCCGAGCTCCTATCTCCCCAGTGATTGAAGCACTTTCTCTCCCCCTACGTCCTTTCCTCTTCCCTCTGCCACATTGAGATGAAGTCTTCTCTATGCAGCTTAGACGGCTTCTCTGCTGTTGGTGGTTGGCAACACTAATGGTATGGTTTGGTTTTTTCCCTTTTTGACTTCACAAAAGCAGTTCTTTACCATCCACAAGTCAGCTCTCCTGCAGGCTGAGCCCTGCACGTGATTCCTCTTGACTTCACCCCTCTCACCTCCTGCCCATCTCCACTCTCCATGCAGGAGCCTCATGCTGTTGCCTTGAACCCAGTGCTCCAAGGGCTCTTTGCCTCGCCAGGAAGCCACGAGAAATTTGGTCTGAGCAGTTTGTGCTGCCCAGGCTCCCCGGCTCACCATGCATCCCACTCCTTGCTCAGCAGATGAGCCTCGCACAGGAGTTTATTGTCCCTTCAGACTTCATTTTCTGAAGAGAAAAATCATGAGAAATCAAGGAAACCTTTTGGAAGGTTGGTACCATGCAAAAATAAAAAGCAACCCTCCTTCAGTTCCCATTGCCCTCACCCCATTTTTCTGGGGGGGAGGCAGAACGGCCACATCCTGCTTGAGGAGAAGGACCTGACTTCACCTTTCTCTTCCTCCCCATCACTTCTCCTCCTGGGGCAGCAGCCCCCCAGTGCAGACAGCTCATCTCCATGTCTTTGCTGGGTCGTGTTGACTGCCCTGCAACCTCCTGCCTTGGTCCAGAGGTGCTGAAATCCTCCCAGCTGGAGAGAAAGGTGCTTTAGCACTTCTGGTATCAGCTCCCCCAGAGGCCAAACCCTCTTACACCACCACAGTGTTAATTGCCCATTCTAATTGCACTCTGTAAAAGGGAGCTTGCAGTATTTTGCTCTCTGGTGTTGGCTTTTCCTGGATTTATCCACAGCCTTAAATGACCCCCGAGAGTGGCTTGTAACTACTCCAAAGCATAGAAATCCTGGCAACAAATCAGAGAGGTAAGGAAATAACCAAAGTAGCCCTGAGATGATCCTCCTTTATTTCATTTTTTCCCCCTTTTCTTCGTTCTTCCTCGTCTGGACACTGTTCAACTGTGTGGAACTTAAAGCCATGGAATTAAAAAAAAAATACATATATATGTATATAGATATATATCTATATATTACAGATACACAAGTTCTTTGTATCCAGAACATAAACCTGAGTGTGAAATGGCTCTGAGGTGCACGCACATGGTGTTTCCCTTCCTCAGGCTGCAGGAGGAGGCAGGCAGCCTTGGGAACTGACCAGGGGAGCAGCAGAGTGGGGTTGGATTATAAGCAATGCTCTGCAGGTTGGGCCTGATCCTACAGCAGCCCCTTTGGTGCAGGATTTAGACCTGGCTCAGCCTCCTCTCTCCCCATCTCAAGCAGCTGCAGATAGGGAGCAGATCCTCTGTGGTTATTGCTCTCCTCCTCATGCTTGTTTGTCATTTCTGAGCTTTGGTCCTGCTCTACCATCAGTTCTATGGGTTCAGGAGCAGCATCAGGGCCAGCCCATGGGATTTCAGAGCTTGCTGCTCTCCCAGTTCCAGCAGTTTGAGGGACAGGGGAGTTGCCTCAGTGCTAAACCTTCACAGCATCTCCGAAACAGCGATTGCTGGTGTCATTAAAAAAAAAGATAAAGGGTGGCAGAGGTGTGAGGAGCAGGCAGGGGGATGTGTGGGGCGCAGGCAGCAGCATGTGGCATGGGGCCGTGGCGTGGCTGCAGCAAAAGGGCTGAGCTGTGCAAAGCCAAAAGCCAAAGGCAAAGTGGAGCCCTCGCCTCCTGCACACGGCTGAGCTGGGTGGGCAATGAGGGGTCGGGGAGCTCCTGGTGCTCAGAAGGGCTCCACGTAATTGCCAGGGAAGAAACCTGCCTCCTCGCCCAGGATGCCTTCACACCATCCATCAGAGTACCTCCGTGTGACGTAGATGAGGGCCCCAGGCTCGAAGGAGAGCTCGTTGTCCTTCTGCCGTGTGTACGGGTAGAGGGTCAGCACTGTGCAAAGAAGGGGAGAGAGGCCATGGAGCAGAGTGAGGACAGCTGAGATGGGCAGGAGGAAAGGGCTGCACTGCCCTGTAGTGGGGCAGTCACATCCTCAGTGCTGTGACCACAGTCAGGGCCAAAGAATCTGGTGGATCTCAGCAGATCTGACCCTTGGAGCTGCTGTACCTTTGTCCAGGTAGCTCTGTGGGGCACAGAGGGGCTCCTCTGCAGCTGGTGGTGGTGGTGGTGGGGTGAAATCCTCAAAGTTGGGCAACACTGGTGGTGGTGGCAGTGGTGGCTCGAGGTCATCGGAGACTGTAAAACAAATTCAGTGAAGGCCAAGGGGCTCCACGTGGAACAGAGACCACGCACAGCATTTGTGTTTGAAATGAGCACCCCGGCATCCCCAGACACTGCAGCACTCACCTGGAAGGCTGAAGTCCGGTGGGGGCACAGCCAGGTCCCCTGGTGGTGGTGGGAGCAGATCCCCAGGGAGAGGTGGGGGTGGTGGGGGTGGTGGGATGGTGGCTGCAGCCGGGGTGGGTGGTGGACCCGGTAGGGGTGGAGGTGGGGGTGGTGCTGGGATGCCTTCCCCAGGGGCTCCTCCACTCGAGCTGAGGATTCAGAGTCAGGGAAAAGATGTGTGTGGGAGGGACGACGATGTCACCATGGGCAAAACACCCCAACATCTGCGTGCAAAGCCATTTCCCCATTCTGTGCCTTAGCTTCCCCCTTGGGAACCGTCTATGTCAAGTTTTTTTGCTTTAGAGATATACAGTGAATTTCCTGCTCCCCAGAACCATATTGCTTATCAAAACCTCTCTGCAAACAGATGCAGTAGGGTAACCACAGCTGCCCCAGACCCACTAATCCTCCTCCCTGGGCATTCCAGATCCCCCCCCAGGCCCAGGCTGGTACCTGACTGATGTCAGTGAGGAGGCTGATGAAGCTGCAGAGAGCTTTCCCTCAGGAATCACAGGAGGCTGGATGGGCTCAGGGACACGAGTGCTCCTCCTGCCAACAGAGAAGGCACTGAGCCCACGCTGCCAGGTGGTGGCATCAGGACAGGGACAGGACACTGAGGGCAGCTGCATTAGGCAGTGCCCCTATGGCTCTGTCCCTGCCGTTGTCACCTGCTCAGCGACACCCAAGGCAGAAAGATTTCCTACTGCACACCACCCCAGAAGCCTCACCCCATGGTGCCTGCAGACTGTTGACTCTTGATCCCTTTCCGAGACAGTGTGCCTGTGCGGGACAGCTGGGTGCTGTGGTCCTGCAGGCAGGAGAAAACACAGACATATGGACAAGCTCATTGCACCCCATGCCTACCATGCCCCTCAAGTGCCCCCAAGGCCTTTGCTGAACCCTTCTCAAAAAGATGGGGGCTGTTGGAAGCTGCCCCAGCTGATAGGAGCAGACGTCTGCTGTGTGGCATTGCCACCGTGGGAACTGCAGCCCAGCACCACCACTTCCCCTCCAACTCTATGGTGGTTTCACACTGTGCACGTGGCTCTGATGCTGCTGAAAACCCACAGGAGCCTTCCGGTGAGAGGCAGCTTACAGGGGCAGTTTCAGTGCTGAAACAGCACTGGGGTAGAACAGCAGCTCAGCCCCAACCTTGGCTGAGCAGCTCTGGGACTGTGTGCCTTTGTGGCACTAACAGTGTTCCATTCCCCTCCTGCCCCAGGATGAGCCCTGCTGGGACAATTCGTGGAGTGGGCTGGGCGAAGTATGGAAAGACCCCGATTCTCCTTCCAGGAGGGGTTTGTGATCACAGAAAGTCCACCTGAGCCCCCACCTTCCCACGGGACACCCTCCAGACTGACCTTTATGCCATGGCCAACGTCATCCAGGATGCTGAAGTTGAGGGGTTTCCTGTAGTAGGGCTCCAGGGACGGTGGGTTGGGGGGGGATGTGATCTTCTGGTGGGATGGGAACCTCTTGCTGACAGTCAGAGAGCCAATCTCCCGGCGAGACACTTTCTCCTTGTGCATGTCAACACTCTGTAAAGATGAAAGGCTTTAGGAAGCCTTCAGGTGTCAGGAAGGATGAGTGGCTGCAGGGCTCTGTGTCAACATCCCCAGTTCTCCAAGGGGACAAGGCCAGTATCCACTGAGGGGGGATTACAGCATCTGAGCCCTTGTGACTGCTGCAGGGCGGCTCCTTGGGGGTTTCCCCAGAGGCTGCCATGGTCTCCAAACACTCAGACCAAGACAACCCCTCAAGAACAGTTTCTCACCCCTCGGTGGACTTTTCTTTAGCACGTTGGGTGACCAAGGTGTTGCAAGGGCTAACAGGCCATTAAAACCACAGGGAAGGATGGTCTCCAGTCCCTATATAAGCTGCTCCCCTTTTTTTGAGGCCAACCCTTCCTCAGGGCCCAAACCCCACAGCAGCACAGACCCATAACCAGGCAGTTGCTGAGGTCGGACCCACCTGGGCTACACAGCTGACGTTGGCCTCCAGCTTTTGCAGCTCGGCTGCCTGCAGGTCCAGCAGCTGCAGGAAGGTGGTGGCCAGCCTGCTGACCTGGTAGGCCACGCTGGCCAAGGACTGCGTGCTGAACGCCATCGTCTCCTCCAAAGCCTTCCGCTTGTCGCTCGCCTGGAGGGTGAAACACAGCCGTGATGAGCTGGGAAGGCTGACAGCACACAATGCTGCTGCTGCCATTCCCACACTCGGGTCACAAGGGAGCAAAGGGGCTTCCTTCTGCTTTCCAAATGCATCACAGTTCCTCCAGCTCAGGCGGTGGGACTCAGCGGTGCTCAGCACCACCAGGGTGCGGTGGGACAAGCACAGAGGGGGGTCAGGAGGGTCTGTCCCAGCCCTGTTGCCAACAGCTGGGGAAGCAGTCTCAGTTCTCTGAATTGTTTTGCATGCTTCCCCTTCAGAGATACAGCTGGGGGCTGTGAACCGGCCAGAAGCTGCAGCAACAAGAAAACAACCCAGCCCTAGAGGATGCTTAACTGAGGCAGCAGCAATGTCTGGCTATGGGACAGAGAATGCTAAGGTTACAGCCCCAGATGGTTGGGGGGGCACCCGCCCCCTCGGGTCGGCCATGGGGAAGTGAGGCCAACAAGGTAGGATCCTTAAAGCACCCAGGAGACCCCCAGTCACAGCACTGTCCCCAGCCAATGGGGCCAAACCAACCCTTTTGCATTCCCTCAGCAGGTCACAAGGACAGCGGGGAGGAAGGCAGCACAGAGCCCAGTGCCCACCGTGTGCTGGGAGGGAGAGAGCATTGCGCAGCACCTCCCAAACCCCGAGCTGCCATCCCCGCTCCCATCCAGCACCAAAACACCTGGAAGACCCCCCCCATATCCCATAACCCTGACGGATGAGCAGAGGGGAAACTGAGGCACAAAAGCAGCGCTGAGAGCACTCAGTGCTGGGCAGGAAATGAACGGGAACAGCAAAGCCTTCGCCCTCACACCATCCTCCCCACCACCACCACAGATCCCCCCCCCACCCAGAGACCCCCCAGCCCCACACCCCACCTGCAGGTAGTTGCTCTCGCAGTACTCAGCCACACGCTGCAGGTTGCTGTGGTTGTCACGCAGGCCCTGCCGTGCCGTGGGGACATCGCAGGGCTGCAGCGGCTCCGCCATGGTGCTGGGACTGGAGCCCACTTCCTCCCCAGCCTCTCAGGCGCCGCGTTTTGAAGCTCGCGGCGATGCTGACGCACTGCTGTGCGGATGCCCTGTGGGTTGTCACCTCTCCCAGCTCCGCCAGCTCTGCCGGCCCACAGCCCCATGAGGAGTGGGCTTGGCAGGCTGAGGGCCGCCATCTTGTCTGCCATAGCGGTGGAGGCTTGGGGGCATGGAGGGGTAGAACCTGAAAGCTGTTGAGGTGCTGCAAGCCCAGTCCCCACCAAACCTGCCCTTCACATTCATACTTACCCCTCCCCCCCCCCCCTCCCCACCCCCAAATTCAAACGCCCCCATCAAGGGGGCCTTCATGAGGTTGAAGGCAGCACAGCCCTGGGCAGAGTGGCATTTCCAGGACAATGCTGCATTTTGGCTTCTATCGGCCCAAATTTGGCCACTTCTGGGCATTTTGGTGCTTGCACCTCCATCCTCTGACAGAGTCCATTAGGCACGGGGCCAGGCTTGGCTCTGTTGCACTCAGTGGGGGGAATTCCCTTCCCCTTGCCTTTATGGGACTGGCAAGAGGACATCTAGCCTCAGGATGGTGCTTCCATTGCCAGCTCAGGTTCCCCAGACGGCCCCATGCCCCCACCTCGCCCAGTTCAGGTGCAGCCATCAGTTTCTGCTTGCTTCTGTGTGCCGGGACAGCACAACCCTCCTTGGTGCTTTGCTGATGGCCTTTCCCATCCCCACAGCACAGTGCCAGAGGCCAGGGCCAAGGGCAGGAAACTCTCACTTCCCAGCACTGGGAGGGTCCTTTGTGCTGGGAATCCCCCTCCACCTCCTCCTCTTTGCGCTCCCTCGGGGCCTCCTGAACTCTGTCCTCAGCTTCAGTGTTGCGCATGGGCCAAGCAAGAGCCAAATGCCCATCGTGAGCCCACAGCAGTGTGAGGATGAGAGAAATGATGAACCAGCTCTGCTTCTCACACCCTCAATGGCCAAGAGCCACCCCAAATGCTTCCTGGACCCCCACAGTCCCCTTACCCAAGCTCTCATCCTCTCCATTCCCTCCTATGGTGGAACCTGTTCCAGCTCCCATAGCGGATGCTCCCTTTGCTCCCCTAGCTGGGTTCCAGCCCTGCACAGGCTCAAACACACACACTGGAAGCTCAGGGGCTGTCGAGTGCCCCACAAGTACATCTCCACCCTTGCCCTTCCTCCCCCATCTTCGCCCTCTCCCAGCCCTCCCCTATGGCCCCACCACTGATTACCCAGAGCTTTGAGGCTAATGCCCAACACCTGACCAGCTTATTCTTCTGAGTCTATTATCAGCTTAGGGACCAAAGACATCTGCTCCCTGCTCCTGGCTGGGAGATCTGAAGGAGTCTTCAAACAGAACAGTGCAGACACAGAGGACAGCAGCTCGATGGGTTTCTGAATACCTCCAGCACTGAGAGGGGGAGCCCCTCATCCACACAGGTAAGTGACTTTGCTTCTTTCCCAATGCACAGAGGCATTGCAGGTGCTATCACCACCTCCACGGGTTGATAAAAGCTGCAGCTTTTATCTCCTCGGGACTCATTGTGCCCCATAAGCACTGATGGGGAGAGGAGTACTGGCTATGCATGCCATGAAAACAGCCACACAAAACCAGTGGGGTCTGGGGAACAGAAGTTTGATGCCTTCCAAAGCAGGGACAAGACAAACCGCTGCTTTAATCACATTCCTCTTTATGATTTAAGAGGTTGTGGTCAGGCTTTCAAGCTAAGTTTTAATATGGGAGCAGCACAAGGCAACTCTCCAAATCTTTTTTATATCCCTTGGGTGCACCTTTGTAAAAAACAGATGAGCTTTTCCAGTTCACACCATGGAATGTCTCTGTGCCACAGAGGTAACAGCAATGAAGGGACATAATTCACACCATCACTTACTTGCAAGGGTGGCACAATGAGTGGAGGAGAAAACAATAGTTTAGTTCCTCACAGTGCCTGTGGGCTGCTCCTGCCCAAGCAGAAAGGTGTAGTTACAAACTCACATTGGGAAGGCATCGTCTGCACCTATGCTGCACTGCTTTGTTTAGGAGATGCTATATAGTTTGGTACATTCTTATCTGGGTTCTCCTAAGATGCTGCAAACCCAACAGACCTGCAGTGCAATTGGTTTTTCTGTGGGCTCAGCCAGCCCCACTGAACCAGCCATCTCTTGTCCTTGGGAAACAGCCTCTGCTGTACGCAAAGAAAGGGCTGGATCTTCTGCTGCTGCCTTCAAACCACTGTTTTTGCTCCATTTGTCTGGGTGAGAACAAGCAAAACAAAATTTGATTACTGCAGTTACACTGTGCTTTGAAAGGTGCCCGAAAGCTTCAGCTGAGACGTTATCAGCTTTTGCAATAGTGTTAGGGCAAAAGCAAATGCCTTAGGAGAAGCCTTACTGCACTTCAAGCACGCGCCATCTCTGTTGGTTACAGGGCAGAATGGCTCAGGATATGACAGAGAAGGAACTGCTGAAAATGGAACTGGATCAGCTGAAGAAGGAGGTAAAGAACGAGAGGCAAATGGTGAGTATTGCCCCAAAATGCAAAATGGGGAGCAACCTTGGCACCCTGAGGATGCTGATGGGGCACACCACAGCCAAGGGCAGCTCCGTGGTTCCCTCTCCCAGAGGCTCACATGGATTTGTAGGCAGACGATCAGCAAGAGAGCAGCTCTGCAGTGACTGCTTGTTCCCATAACCCACACGAGGCGTCTCCTCCCTTCCTTCCTTGCAGGTCTCCAAGACCGGCAAAGAGCTCAAGGAGTACATTGAATCCATGGCAGGAGAGGATCCACTGCTGAAAGGTGTCCCTGAGGACAAGAACCCCTTTAAGGAGAAGGGCGGCTGTACGATAAGCTGACATCCTTCCTCCTCCTGCACCGCCCTGCTTGGGCACAGAGCCATTCCCATGCTCAAGCCAAGACTGTCAGAAACCTGCTTTCCCTATAGTCTGACCTCAGCACTGGGGAGTACCAAAATAAAGTGTAGTTGCATCTCAAGTAGCAGCAGAAAAAAGAAAAATTATGAGAAAAAAGAAAAAAAAATTACCCCTGTGATTGCAGAGATGAGGTGCAGCAGACAGAGCAGAGTGCGTTTGTGTGCTCCCATCACTGATTTATGGTTGGTTTCCAGCAAGCAAAAGTTCTGTGTTTTCAGCAGGCAGCAGCAAAGTGGGCTTTAATGGCACAGGTAGGGCTAGGAATGGTTTGTAGGTATAGGGAGGGCGTAGGGCTGTACTGAAACACGTAGGGCTGTACCTGGACTCCAACCCCAGGCATCCCAGCAGCAGGGCGGGCTCCAAAGCCTAGAGCTGAGCCCTGCATCCCCACTCGCTAGAGAGAAGCATCCCGGTGGGACCTCGCTCACGTTATCGCCTATCAGTGCCTGAATCCCCCATCTGGCACAGGCAAACACGCTCTGATGCTCCCAGGGGTCTGAAGCTTTCATCTCCTCATTCATAACTCCGTCCATCGCTCACAGATCGCACCTCCCACCCGCAGTGCGTCTACAGGACTGGGGGAAGGGGGCTGGGGGATGGGGACCGAACAACCCAAGCGGGGCACGGGAACGAGCGAAGCCTCCATCAAAAACATCAGCCTGCCTCCGTGTCCTCCTCGGGAAACCCTCCAGCAACCACAAGAGATCAAAGCCCGGAGGTTTACAAGTCTGGTTCTGCTCGAAGCACCGCCTTGGCTTCACCTTCCGCTCTGTGCAGCCGGGGAAGAGCGGACAGCCTCCATGCGGGCAGAGGTGCTGCAAAGCCTCGTCCCGCAACGTTTCACCATTGATAAGGATCGACTCGGAGCCGGCAGTTCTGCTTGGAGGTGGCACAAAAACCGGGGCAGATTGGGGCGGCACAGAGATGAGGTCGATGGGGTGCAGGGGCCCATAAAAAAGGGAAAATAAAGGTTTTGTTCTTCCTCTCGCGGAAATACTGAATAAATCCACTCCGTTCCATACGCGGTCTCTTGTCTCTCTCGTACCCGCGTTCCCGTGCCAAAAACATCACCTCGGGGCCAGCATCGTCCGTCCCCGCCGCTAACCCCGGCGGAGGTCCCATAGAGCTCCGCGACCCCTGAGCTAAGCAAAGACAGCCCGCTTAACCCCGGCTAAACCCCGCGCCAAACCCCTCTCATCCACGCACCGCCACCAGCCCGCCCCTTTCTGACCAGCCGCAGCCGCAGCTCAGCCCTTATCAACGAGCCCCGCGATAGCTGCGACCGCAGAGAGGGGGGGGGGAAGCTACCAGCCAATAGCAACGCGGGAAGTCATGAGTGTCGTCCAACGCGCCCAATCGGAGCCAGTTCCTGGATTAACTCCCACCCCCCCCTTAACACCGCCCCCACCGCTCTTCCCGCGCATGCGCATCGCGGCGCCGGCGCCCCCGCACAAAATGGAGCCCTGGAGGTGCGCGGTACCGGTGGGGGGGGGTGGCGCAGCGCGGGGCGACCCCGCAACGCTCCCCGCAGCACCGCGCCGCCGCTGCCGTCCAGCGGGTTCAGCGACGCGCCGGGGGCAAAAAGTACGGGAGGTCCCACCGAGATTTGAACTCGGATCGCTGGATTCAAAGTCCAGAGTGCTAACCATTACACCATGGGACCACGGCATACGCGTTGCGCCACGGCGCCTTCAGGCTTTGCGCGCCGCCGCGGGCGTCCGCCCCAACCCCAATTCTACCGTGGGTCTCGATGGAGTCCGCCTCGCACGGCCCCATATCTGCCTACAGCCCAGTGCCGGCAGCAGCCCCATTCGCCTCCCCCGAAGCTCCCGCTGCTTTCCTTTTAAACCGGGACGCCCGTCGCCGTGACCCCGTTCCCCATCCAGCGGCCAGAAAACGGCATTCCACCGTCCTCCAAACGCCATTGAATTGTGACACGGGCTTGGGTTCCACCGCCGCTGCTGGACGGCCCCGAGCACGCATGCCATCGGCCCGTGCACCCCCCGGCAGCTCCATTTCTTCGTTCCCCCCACCCCACCAAATTGATGAAAAAAATGCACAGGAACAGCATTAGAGGAATTTTTTTTTCCTTTTTTTTTTTTTTATTTTAATTTTTTTTTTTTTTTTTTTTAATGAAACAGTGGAGTAAAGCGGTTTGTGGCAAAACCTCGCTGGGAGAGAAATGAAACCTGCATCCATCCGCCATCCCTGCTACTCCACACCCAAAGCAACGGCTTCGCAGTGTGGGAAGGATGGGGGCAGAACAGGCAGAGGAGGGGAAAGGTAGAAAGAAACAGCCAAGAGGAGGAACACCAGCATCGGCCCCGTACAGTACAACGGTATTGAGGAACAGCCTGAAATCACACTGGGGCGGCTGCTGGGAGACATTGCTTTGGCCATTGGTGTGGTGAGAGCCCTTGGGTGCAGCTGTCCCATGGCTCCTGGGTGTGGGGTGATTGGGAACCCAGAGCTGGCTCAGTTGGATCAGATTGTATGGCTGGAGGACCAACTGCTCAGAGCAGTGCTCATGCTGTCACCAGCCCAGTGGCACCAACCCAATGCCACCAACCCAGTGCCACCAATTTAGTGCTGCCGGCTCAGTGCTACCAGCCCAACGCCACCAACTTGATGCCACCAACCTGGTCCAACCAAACCAGTGCCACCAGGGAGCCATCAGCCCAACTTGGTGCCACCAAGCCAGTTCCACCAATCCAGAGCCAACCTGGTGCCACCCATCACCCCAATTCCACCAACTTGGTGCCACCAAACCTGATTCCATCAACCTGGTGTCACCAACCTGGTACCACCACCCCAATTCCATCAACTTGGTGCCATCAACCCACAGCACTAAGCCACCCACACCCATGGCCATTGGGAAAACCATTGAATGATGGCCCCAGCATCTCCCACCCATGCATGATTGGGTTCAGCCCCGTGACGCCGGGGAGCTGATGGAGTTCTACTGCTGACAGAAGTAAATATCAAAGTTCAAAAGGGAAAAAAAAAAAAAAAAAAAAAAAAAAAAAAAAAAAAAAAAAAACCCAAAACAAATGTAATGGAAGTTTGAGCATTAAAAATTAAAAAAGAAAAAAAAAAAAAAAAAAAATCAGTCACAACCAAACGGTTTGGACTGCTGAGGTCTGGAGCTTTTACAACTAACGACCACTTTAAAGTGAAAAGAAAGCCCGTAAATTCTATTTTTAAAGAACATTTTTCTTTGGAAAAAGAGTAATTTTTTTTTTTTTTCCCCTAAACTACAGCATGTGGAGTTGCCACTACCTAGTTTTAATCTATTGTCACTAAGAGGTAGATAAACAAAAATGACTTGGTTATATAGGAGGTCGCGCCCCGGGGCTGACGTGGTGGAGCAGGCAGACCCCCAGCTCCAGGGCTTCCTCTGGGGCTTTGCCTTATGTAGGGTGACCCCAAAAGTCGTCAGGTTCCGATACAGCCACCCAGAGCTGGATACAAGGTAGTATCAGGGGAGGGGGAAGGCACATGTTGGGTCTGAGGACCGGATTTTGCCTCCTGAAAGTCAACGAAAGTTTGATGTCAACACTGAATCCAGATGTGCTTCAAACGAACCATTATCTGCTGGGTAACGAACACTTCAACCCATTCCAGTGATTCTCACCGTTTCCACTCTGATTCCAGACAATCCCATCTGTTTTCTGGGGTGACCCCAGTGGCAGTGGGGGGCGTGGGAAGGATGGGGCCCTATGGGATGCTCTGCCCCAAGCACTGCATCCCCACAGACAACAGCCTGTGCTGCTTTACAGAGACCATTTACATGATGGGTCTGAAAAAAAAAACGGCTTTGGTTCTGCTGTACAGCTGTCTCCCATGCCTTAATTTGGTGCTGGTTCTTTTTTTTCCAAGTGAAAAGTTCCTTTTCATCATTAGCTCATGTTGATGTTTTCCAGTTCATAACCCATTGCTTTGCCACCATGGCCCAACACAGCATCCCTACTCAGAGCATCCCTGCTTAGAGCTATTCGCCCTCACCAAAAGCTACAAAATGCATAATGCAGCAATGGGTCAATTCCCAACGGGCCCAACGTAATACTGCCCAGTGACCATTCCAAACCAGCAGCCCCAGCAGTCTTCCTCACCAGCTCTCCTCTTCTGCACTGCAGCTCTCCCTTGGGACATCCCTGCAGTCTGGGGGTGGGGGGGCTGTGCCCAAAGCTCCTCCGTGCCCAATGCTCAGCCCTGAGGTAGTTTGCACGTGTGCGTTCGCAGCATCTGCACCTTCTCCAAAATTCAAGATTGAAGAGCCTCTCTGCTTCCTGGTTTCCCTTTGGGGCTTATCCAGAATCACAAATGTTCCAAAGGGGGGAAAAAGAAGAAAAAAAAAAAAATAGAAAACCACCAAAACGATGAAGGAAGGTCGAGGCCGCTGAGCGAGGCTACATTTTTCCCTTCCTACTCCATACCAATTCAGAGCTCCCATGCCCTGCACCACCATGGCTCACACCTCTGATAGGACCTGGAGCATCACTCAGCTCAGAGCTGACCTCCAGCTCTGCCCACAAATGGACCCCCAGTCTACTCAGACCCTTCCACCTGCTGGCACTCAGCAATGGGCAGCCATTGTCCTCCTCTCCCTTTCCAGGAAGATGGAATGGAAACTTCTTGAGCAAAATCACTGCCAACCACTGTTCCCAAAGCAAATCTGCAGCCCAAATCCTTCACCTCCCATCTGCACAGCCCATGGACAGGCCGGAACGTTAGCAGCAAGAGTATGACTGGGATGGCTGAAGGGATGCTTAGTGGAACATACACTCATCACAGGCTCACACTGACTTCACCCAAAGGAAACAGAAGCTACAACAGAGAAGAAAAAAAAAAAATGGAAAAAAAAAAAGAAAAAAGAAAAGACTCCATAAAACCCAGTGCTGCCGAAACCCCGTTGCCTCAGATGCAGTTTGAGGGCTGAGAAAATGGGCAGAGCCTGGAAGGACAAAACAAAATCTGATTTTTCGGTGGGGTTTATTTGGCTTTGTTTTTCATTTGCCTCCAGCTGAAAGACAACACAACATCCTGACAGCATGAACACAAACCCCATAACCCACACAGCATCGCTTTGCCCGGTGCACGGCCCTGAGGACCACAAAGTGCTTTGGGGGCACGGGGCTGTGGGCAGTACCCTGTGTGAGGTAGGTGAGCAGCATGAACCTCAGCAGGGAGAAACTGAGGCACAGAGGAATTCTCATTATTTTGCTTCCTTTCCTTTTTGTTTTACATCCTCAGCACCAGTGAGAAACAAATTCCTCAGCCCTGGGGAGCAGAAGGCTGCATTGCCCCATTCCCTCTCTCCTGCCCCAAGGTTCCCCACGTCCTCAGGTCAAAGCTCAGCCCCCAGGGGAGAAACACCCCACATCCACAGGGTTGGGCTTGCTGCTTTCTCACTGCAGAAGAAATTAAATATATAAACCCAAAGGATTTCTGTAGGGAAAGCAAAAGGCAGCCCTGAGGGCAGGAGCTGGAGATGCTTTTGCCTTTCTGGTCCACAGCAAAGCTGTGCCATGAGTGAGCACCTGCCTGATTGCTGCTGCTATATTTTTTTATCATTCAGCAGATGGGGGCTGATTTTCTTGCTTTCAAAGTAGGGTGGTTTCCTCCTAAACTGCCTTTTTCTTTTCTTTTCTTTTTTTTCCCCCCTCCAGTGCAAAGAAAGCAGCTAACAGGCAGCAAGGTTCCTTCTCCTCCCTTCTTGCTGATGGGCATCCCTGATTCAAAGCTCACATCTCCTTCCCTGGGACCTGGGGCAGGGATCCTGCTGCATCCAGGCAGGAGATAGGCACAAGTCCTATTGAACTCCATAGGACATCAGTAGGGATTTAAGCAGGGATTGAAGGAACACCACCGAGGGCAGACCTGCCCCTTCCCAGCAACCACCTTTGAAAAAACAAAGCAGCCTCCAAAGAACCTCTCAGCCCTTGGAACAGCACCACAAGGGGAGGCACAGCTCCCACAAAGGGATGGCAATGGGAGCAGCACAGCAGGGTGGCACTGGGGTGGCAGCACAGAAATGGGGGAAAGCATCACAGGTTTCCCTGAGTCACCATCAGGTTTAGGTATGCGTCCGGATCTGGACCTTATCCATGCAACAACCCAGAGAAACAGGACTGGGGGTAAGGAGGGGGAAAATGGATCTTTTGTTGTTTTTTTTTTTCTCCTCAACGATACACTTTGCACCAGTTATTAAAAAAATAAAAAATAAAAAATAAAAAATGCTTGCTGTGGGAAAAAAAAAACCACAATTCTTATAATCACCGATGTCTGAATAACACTGATCTGTCCAAAGCTGTAAGAAGTAGAGAGCCAGAGATGAACACTTCCCTAGGACACAACGGCAGCCCCAGCTGGGACCGAGGCAGCCCACCGCCCACTGCACTGCATCACCCACAGCCCCATGCACCTCCATTTCCATCTTCTCATCCAATGCAGAACGGGTCGTTTTCCTGCAGGGACAAACAGCAAGATGGCACGTAAAGAAAAAAAAAAGAACCTTGTCAAGCATATAGGGTGAGGTCCGTGCCTGTTATTCGTGAGGGTCATTCCATTTTTCTCTCTCCTCCGTGTGCGTTTGTAGAAGAAAAGTTGGTTTCCATTTGTCTTTTTTTTTTTCCCTTTTTTTTTCTTTTTTGTGTTTTTTTTTTTTGTTTTTTCTTTTTTTTTTACTTGCTTTATCCTCGGTAAAACTGAGGCAAATCTCTGCAATGAGTTTACCAGCATCATAGTGGAGAAGACAGGCGGCCATTTTGCCTCCATGGCAGCACCGTTGGGGCGGCCCATATGGGTTTGGTTTATGGCAGTCCATATGGTTTATGGCTGCGGGATGCTGCCTGGGTTTGGGGCAGCTCAATGTGCCCCACGTGGTGCTGAGCTCCATTCCAGGAGTGCTTTTGTGGAGGCAAATCCATCCTCATTGCCCACAGTGGAAGATTGCCAATCCCAAGCTCTTCAGCCGTTTGCTTTCCCAATGAAGTCGGATGGACAAAAGCCTTTCGTCATCCAGTAGTTCTGCTGTTGGTTTTGTTTTTCTTTGTTCTGTTGGTTGGTTGGTTTTTCTTGCATGTGAAAGGAAAAGAAAAAAAAAAAAGAAGAAAAAAAAGAAATAAAGTCTTTCCAATTGAAAAACGTCGGTGGGCTCCGATTTGTCCAAGGTCTCAAAGAGTCGCGACATCCGACAGCTCGTGTGTCGTGTTGGCATTTCTGCCTGGCTTTGGGAAGGCCAACACCATTCGTGCTGCCATCTTTTCCACTACGTCTGAGATTTCTGTCGTTCTCCATAGAGAGCTCATCATCACACCTGGGGACCCGGGCGCAGGGCTCCTGGCTCACAAGAAATTACGAACAACTTAACTTCTCTTTTCATTAAAAAAATAAAATATTCAAGACTATCAGCTTTTATATAAAATACCAGCAAGCCCCCCATAAAAAAAAAACCAAAAAAAAAAAAAAAAAAAAAAAAAAACACCAAATAAAAGTTCAATTGCTGAGGTAACGTCATACCTTGAGGTAGCTTTTTTTTTTTCTCCTTTTCTCTTTTTTTTTTTTTTCTCTTTTTTTTTTTCTTTTTTTTTTCCTCTTTCCCTCCTCTCTTGTTGCTCAAACACACGGCTATACCTCACCCCAACTCCTGGCCTCACCCCACTGCTGCTGCTGCAGTGCCCCCAGGGACAGTAACCGCTGCTGCGTCCCCATCTCAGCTCTATGGGAGCAGTCTGGTTTAAGAAGAAACAGTACAGAATCAGTGCGAGGTTCACCCCCACCTCCCTCCTTATCACCTCCATGCGGGCTCGCCCCGCTGTCCCCAATGCAATCAGAGCTTTTTGCTTTCTCCCCCTGCTCCCCAGCTTGTGGGACAGCATCGGCGCTGAGTCCCCAATGGGGCCGGGTGGAAGGGCAGCACGGTGCACACACAGCCCCATAGAGACACGACCCGGCCCCGTGTGGGGCAGTCACAGCAGTTACTGTCCCTTTCCCAATACTCAAATATTAAAAAACAAACCATTAAAATATATCTAAAATATAAAAATCCTCCTAAGAGTGACGGGAATCAGGAACCACCTTACATTCGTTTGACGGATCTATTTGGTACGGTCGTGTGAGGGGGGGGCTGTTCTGGCCGCAGAAAGAAGAGGGTGGTGGTGGTGGTGGTGATTGGGGGCTTTGTTGTTTTAAAAATAAGAAGAAAAATAAAAATAAAGCTTCAGACGTGCCAAATTTCAAAGATTTTTTTTTTTTTTTTTTTTTTTTTTTTTTTTTTTTTTTTGCCCCTATCTGGAGAGAGATTTGGGAGAGGGGAGAGAAGGGGCTGGGATACACCACAAACAGCCCCACGAGGGTTAACACCAACCAGCATCATCCAGCTTTGCTAATGAAAATATTCCATTCCCCTGAGTGGTTTTTGCCCCCCACCCCCTTCCCCCCCCTCAGACAAAAAAAAAACCCAAAAAATCACTGCATGTGGCTGAGCCCATGGAGATACCAATGGGATTTCGGGGCACAAATCTGTACTGGGAAGCAAAGCTGAGGCTGAGCCCCCAGTCCCAGCAAAGCCCCAAAACCCTTTGGCTCTGAATCCCAAATCTGTTTAGCCCCCATTTCCCATTACTGAAGGATGGACGTTCATTCATGCTTCCTACCAAACGGGCTGTGCTTTGTTCCTGTTTTATTGCTGTTGCTCAGAGGGAGGAAAGTAAAAAAGCAAAGCACATCCCTTGCCCCTTCCCATGTCAGCATCTCTGCAGTTAAAGCTCTGCATCCCATTCTGCCATTAGTTCATAGGTCACAAAAAAAAGAAAAAAAAACCCACGATGACAAAAAGAGAAAACAAGCCCAAAACTCCCCCCAAAAAACAGCTCCTTTCAAGTAAACTAACATAAAGAAACATCCAACCAAATGAAAAACTAAAAAGTTGTCCTGGAAAATAGAGGTCCTGCGTTGGTTCCTAAGGCTTCAGAAGGCACTGCACTGCACACACAGCACAGGGGAGAGGAAAGCTCTCCTTCTGCCCACCCTCGGGTGCTGCTGACATGATGGGATCCTCCCAGGGGATCCAAATCCATTTGGCACTACGGAGTTTTCCTCCCCCCTCCCTTCAGTCCCTCACAATGGATCTCGTTACCAGTGGGGGGGGGATTGGTGATGGTCCACTGGAATTTTTGAAAAATTAAAAGAAAAAAAAAAAAAGAAAAAATTTCCTAAAAAAGGAGAAAAATTAAAAGGGGAAAAAAGAAAAGAATTAAAAAGCAAAAAAAAAAAAAAAAAAGGATCCCAAAGGTTTAACATCACTCTGGGAACATCCGTCAGCCACACCGCTGAGGCAGGGAAGGGACTGAGGGAGGGATGGGGAAGTGAAGCTGGGGGGAGCCCTGGGGGAGCCCCAGAGGCCCTGAGATGAGGGCAGGCAGTGCCTGCAGGGGCTGAGTGCAGTGCCTGGTGTTGGGCTCCATCCCCCAGCCCCACAGCACCTCCCACTTCGGTTCAGTACAGTGTCAGCACATGGAGCTAAAAATGAGTCAGATGGTGCGGTCTGGTTCTTAGCCCCGTCCCTCTTGCCTTGAAAGCCAATCAAACTGCCTTTTAGTGTCGACCAGTTAATGAAAACAATTGCATCTGTCTATGGTAACTGATTCCCAGCCACTCTTAAGCCTGGCATTGGCTTGTTCCACTTTTCACATTGGTGTCAGTGCTGCTCTCATTTCCTCCTCGCTTGCAGCTGGCCGCTTTGTCCCTTCTGATGCTGCTGCTTCACCTGGGCCAGGATGTCCCGGATTTTGCGCTGCGCCATCTGTGGATGAAAGGAGCAAAAGGAAAATGCAAGGGAAATGGCACTGAGTGCCGTGAGGAATACAGCTGAATGGGAAACCATTGGTCAACCATTGGCCTTCTTGGCCAGCAGGGCACATTGCTGGCTCGTGGTCGTCCTGTTGGTCACCAGGACCCCCACATCCTTCTCATCAGAGCTCCTCTCCAGCAGCTCAGCCCCCATCCTGTACTGATGCTGCACTTGTTCCTCCCCAGGCACAGACCCTGCACATGCCCTTGTTAAATCTCATCACATTCCTCTCTGCCCAACACTCAGCCTGCCCAAGTCTCACTAACCAGCATCAGTGAGCATCAACCACTCCTCCCAGCTTTGCACCATCAGCACACTTGCTGGGCATGAATTCTATTCCTTCCTCTGGGTCACTGATGAAGATGTTGAACATGTGTGAATGTACCCCTCACCCCACCTCTCCCTCCTGCCCACCGCTCCACAAAACACACAAAGACAACAACAAACAGCAGCAGCCAAGCGCAGAAAACACTTTCATAGGAGGAAGCAGCACTGAACACAACCCCTTATGAGCCATCAGAGACTCCACCAGCACCGAGCTGCTGGGATCATACCTGGCTGGCATAGAAGTGCCCGATGATCTTCACAATGACCTGCTCGTTCTCATCAGGGGTCTGATCCCGTGGAACCACCACCTCTGCAGCCGTCAGGTTCTGCAGCTCATTGACCTGCAGGGAAGGGACAGAGACCAACATCACCACACACTGTGGAAGAGATTTCCCCCCCCCCAGACATCCCAAATGCTCCCACCCCCTTCCAAACGCAGCTTTGCTTACAGTTTTGCCCCCTTTGCCAATAACCCTCCCTGCAGCCGAGGCGGGGACACGGATGTGTGTCTCCAGCTTCACTTCTTCCTTCGGCCCAAAGAAGTTCTCCTCCTTCAGCTTCCCATAAATCCTGCCTTGTGCCTGCAGAAGAGGAGAAACAGCATCAGGCTCTGTTCAAGACGCTCTGTCCCCACACATCTCCATCCTGGGGACAACAGATTCCCTCCTCAAATCCCAGCCCCTCAGAGCTTTATGTCATCTCAGCCCCAGGAGGGCTGGTGCTGAGTTAAGACAGGTCTCAGTGTCACACTGGGGAGGGCTGACTGTGATGCTTCTTCCCACCCTGCTCTGAAGGGAAGGGGATGGTGGAGGAGGCACTGGGTGACTCTGACACCCCACTGTGATGGCAAGAAAGTGAGGGGACCTTGAACTGAGCTTCTGGAGGGCCTGTGATGACCACCATGCGCACTTTGGAGTCCGGCGTCTCCGGGGGTGCAATCTGGAATGGGGGAGAGAAACAGTCACTGCAGCATCCATACACATCACCCAGGTTTTTAAGGTAATTTCAGCAGCAGAAAGGCACCCAGCTCAGCAAGAGGTGCTGGCAGGACACTGCTCCTTAATGAGGTGACACTACCTTAATAGAGGCACTTGCGAACCGGGAGAGCTGCTTGATGTGCTGGCCCTTCTTGCCAATGATGGCACCGACTGCTTGGGCAGGGATGAAGACGTGTACGGTCTCCTGCTCGGGAGGCTGAGGACACAGAACCACTGCTCAGAGCTCACCACGCCCCCAATCCCCCCCAGAAGTGTCACCCATACCATAACTGCTGGCCTTCAACTGCATTTGCAACAGGTGAAGAGCACAGATCCTGCACACACGTGGACGTGACCATGCTGAAAGCACCGCAAGGTTCCTCAGCTGTGCACCTACCATGAAGGAGCTGTATGGAGCAGCCCCGGAGACGCTGCTGGGAGGAGGAGGTACTGCGTTGGAGGAGGCAGGGAAGAGGCCGACAGCAGCCAGGTTAAGGCCAGGGATGAGATGAGATTGCAGCTGAGGGGGAGAGGAGAGAAACGCTCATTGCTTGTACCAGGGCATCCTCTTAGAGCACACAGGAGGGGAGGTAGGGCAGGAACCCTGCCTGGCAGAGCTGCCGTCCCGAAGCTGAGCCGCACTCACGCTCATGGCCGCGACATCGTTCTCGTAGGCTTCTCTCACTTTCTTCATGATCTCCTGCTCTGCTTTGCAGCAGTTCTCGATGGAGCCCTTCACTGTGATCGTTCTTTCAGGGTTGTACAGGGTCAGGTCCTGCAAGCTGATGGGAAGCCAGAGTTACACCAGTGCTGACCAAAGCAGGGAGCATCACAGTTTACTGCCCGTGTTTGTGCTGCCTTCCTTAAAAACATGCTTAAAGAACAAAACCCCAGTTCTGCCTGCTAAAAAAAAAAATAAATCAGTACTGAAGCACAGCTCCAAAAGGGAAGAAGAGGGGAACTCAGGAAACAACACGCAGGTATATCAAGACAGGTTTGGGGATCAAAGCACTCATGCCACAGGCTGGCTTCCCAGCAGGTTGACAGCGATCTCTTTGCTTTCCTCACATCTCCCATATCTGCCTCCCCACTTCTATCTGCCCCAGGTTGGGAAAGTCTACCCTGCTTTTCTCAAAGACATCAAGGAGCCTTACGATGAAATGGTGATCTTTGTCTCCGTATCCTGCTCCACTTTCTTCAAGTTTCGCCCTTCTTTGCCAATCAGGCGCCCCACAAAGTTGTTATGGGCCAAGATTTTCAGAGGCACTTCATCAGCTCTTGAGAGAGGAATGGGAAAACAACAGAATTAAAGATTACAGCAGGCAGAAGAAGAGGGATTGGGAGCAGAGTGACGGGGAAGACCATGTCCCCTTGCTCAGAGTCCCCCAGTTCTCCCAAGGCAAGGCTTCCACATGCAAACTGGAGCTCTGAGTGCTGGGATGCTAACAAAGCCCAGCAAGGAGCTGTGGATACAGCCTACAAGCACAGAGGGGTAGGGGAAAAAACTTACGTCTTTGTGTCCTTTGCCTCCTTCTGCATGATCTCCAAGATCATTTTGCAGGCAGCAGAGCAGCCCTCAGGGGTGGAGTGGATGCTGATGGCTTTTTCTGCAGCTCCTGCATTCTCCTTACGGTGAACATCAATCCTGCAAGCACAGCATTGATGTTAGAGTGGGCACAGAGCAGAGGCTCTGCAGCTTCACAGCATGTGCTGGATGCTCTGCTCCTCCAGCATCCCTGCAGGCTGCCCAGAGCTGAAGCTTGGATGTACACAGGAAAGGAAAGAGCAGTTAATTCTGGGCTCAGCATTCCATGTAGATACTGTAGTTAGAAGCCCCATTCACAGAAATCCAAGTAAGACATCTGACTCTGTTTATTTTAAACAACATGAGTGATCACATAGTGGAGAACAGGTCAGTTGCTGGCAGATGAGATGCACTGCTCATCACTTCACATCTTAGATAAAGCCCTCTTGGGAGAGAAGAGCAAAAACACGTGGGACAAAACCAAACTCAGCCTCATCAGTCACTGCAGACCACTCCATTAATTAGAAGCAATGCGGGGGGGAAGGGTAGAGAGACTCACTTGGACTGTGTCTGCTTGGTAATGTTCCTGATGGTGGCCCCTTCTTTGCCAATGATGGCACCCACATACTGTGTGGGCACCAGCAGACGGAGCGGGATGTCCACAGGCTGCTGCTTGACTGGAGCCCCTGCTGTGACAGGGGAACCCTGCCGGGGGGCACCTCGGGCCCCAAAGCCACCCCGGCGCCCATTCTCTGGGCCCTGCACTGACTGCTCATCAGGGATGTAGGAGACCTTCAGCACGTGGTTCTCCAGCTGGTGCCCGTTCAGCTTCATGATGGCTCTAAAGCAAGGAGAGAAGGGGTTGGGGTGAGGGGATTCCTACCCCTTAGAGCTCCCAGCAAAAGGCAGCATATCAGCACCAGCCCACCCAAAATGGGACAAATCCACCCAGACTGGGTCAAGCCTTGACGTAACAGCCTTTGGGAAAGAACTGGGAATGGGGCACAGAGATGTCATCAATGCCACGGAGACCTGGCAGGATTTCCCACCTGGTCCAGATGAGCAAAGTGCTTTAAGTGGGGGGGGGATTTCCAAGCAACCAACTCTGGGGAGGGGGTGGAAGCAGTGGGTGAGAACAAGGAATGATCCCCAGGCTCTCCTCTGCCTTGCAATATATTGGTTGGTATTTCAGCTGCTGGTGGGGATTTTGGGGACTGGCTGCAAGAGCTAAAAGCTGTCGATAGATGGGGCTGGCAGCAAGAGAAAAGCAACAGCTCTGGCCACAGCTCTGCACAGCTCTCCTAACTTCAGTGGAGAGAAGTCAAACTGAAGGTCTCCAGAAAGGGCTCAGTTACTCCCTTTTGGGCTGCAAAACCCCACCGCTGAACAGAGACAAATAACACCATCTCTGCAGGATGCAAAGGATCCAAAGACCCTCCATAAAGCAGAAAAAGATGACAGAAAGGTCTCACACCAATATTATTACTTTTTCCTTGAGCTGCAATTACTTAAATTACTTCAGTACAAGAAAATCTTCACTTTTCCTTATAAAAAAAAAAGAGTTGGTTTTCTTTACTCTTTGAACTGCACAAAAAAGCCTAACTTGGATGTGCTCTAAAGGGCTCCAATCCTACCCCAACCCCACCCCACCATGAAGGTGAACAAAAAGAAATCAGGGCAGAAAGGAGGATATTTCTCAAAGGTTTGCAACCCCAAGTTGATGAATTCTGGGACGGCCTGACTCCCAGCAATGGAAATCCCATTTTCTGTCCCCAGGGAAGGGGCAGTGGGCCATGGGAGGTCCATGGGGTGGCATTGGGGCAACTTACTGCCTGGTCTGCTCCCGGTTTGTGTAGGTGACATTAACCACAGCGGTCTCACTGTCTGTGTTCACTGCAATAAGAGAGGCAGAAATTAGAGCCAGCACGAGCAGTCTGGGCCATTATGCAGCATCTTTGGCCACCAGAGAGTGCTTATGTCTGTACAGCCCATCCTGCTTTATTTTATATACAGGGATGTCCTTGTTTTGGCCAAGCAACAAGAGGACACAATTGACCAGACTCAGACATCTTTAGCCATAGAGATAACCTCTAAGAAAGCACAACAACCTGTCTGTCCTCCTCCCTCCTCCAGCCCCAAATAGCTAGGGCAGAAAATATTTAAACAACAGCACGTTGGCTCCTTCTTTCAGCCTTACCTTGCTCACAGTTTTCTACAGTGCCATATTGTGCTAGCAAGCCATCCAGAACCTGGGAAACAGAGAAAAAGCCCATTATTCTGTGAGAATCAGGACAGACCCAAGAAATACAGTCAGTCGATAAAGGCAGCCTTCTGGGCATTAAGATTTCACAAGCAATTAGATGAGCAAAGCTGCTGTGTGCCCCAGGATGTTGGGTCAACAGGCCCCAGAACCAGAGCTGGGAAGGCAGCAAGAAAAGGACGAAGTCCCAACAGCTGGAAGGAAGGATCCGTGTTGTTCCTACAGTGGATAAATCATATGCTGTTATTAAAGGGGATTTTGTTGGTGGATCCTGCATTGCTTCTACCAGCTGAATTGAATCCTGCACAGAAGAGGAATAAGCTGCATGGACGCAAGGGTGCAGCACCATTAGACTCAGTTAAAAACAAAGAAAAGGATGAACCAATTGTAATCCCAAGTGCAGAAACCCACAGGGGAGTCAGTCCTTAAAGGTGCCCCACACTTCTCAGTACAAATCCTTGTGTCTCAGGCTCATGCCCTGCTCCCTCACCCCCTTACCTCCCATCGCAGCTGGGGTGGGATATTTCGGATTTGAATCTTCCGGCTCCTGAAAGAAACAAAAAGTGATTAAAAGCCAGGTTTGGTGTCAGCAACGCATCCATCTCACACTGAACTGCTCCTCATTGATGGACCTAATCAAGCTTTCCATTCCCACATGCTCCCGGGGTTTCTGATGGCTCTCTTAATTACACCCCGCCAGGTTCTGCATTTACACTGCAAGCTTCACTGTGAGCAAGATGCCCAAATCCACCAACCTTCCTGCACCAGCACAGCTACAAATGCTGAGTTCTGCCAGATTGATTACAAGGATTAGAAAGAAAAAAAGAAGAAAAAGAAAGAACCATGCAGTCATTTAACCTGAAAGCAAATCTGGACATGAAAAGGAGACCATGGCGATGCCCACAGAACCTGGAAACTTGGCTCCAGCATCCCAGTTTGTTTAAGATCACTCCTCCACTCACATTTTTGGCTTTTTCAAACCTAATTTTTCCCAAAATAGAATTTTTGGGGAAAAAATTTGATGCCCAATTGACCCAGGAGGTGCTGCCATGGATTGCTGTGGGTCCCTGGGGCAGCTCCAGCACCCACACACAGCCACACTGCTGCCACCCCAGCGCTTCCACCAACACAAAACACTGAGAAATGATTTTTTTCCTCACCGTTGTGGTGTTTCCACCACATGGTGCTGCCATCTCTGCAGTGTCAGCACCCCAAGTGCTGTGTACAAGCAAAGGGATGAGGAGCACACCAGGCTGAGCCTCACATCCCAGCTCACAGCACCCTGCAAAGCACTCACCCTGGAGCAAAAGCACCCATGGGTGCCCAGGGTCATCCTTGGACGATGCAGCTTTGTGTGGGCAAATGCAGCAGCACAATTCCTTCGGGTTAAACCTCTACTCTCCAGCTAAAGTCACTGCAAAACACCCTCCTTCATCACTGCCCCTAATTTCAGTCCTCTGAATCTCAGCATCTGATTTAAGGCCCAAAATGAGCATCTGAGAACAGTGATGGGGCCTGCCTGCAAGCTCACCGAATATGGAACCTTAAGATCCCTGAAAAGAAAGGGAAATGAAATACTATGACCATCACGTGCAGCTCAGCACTGGCATCACTTTTTTGGGAGATCACCTCCGGACCTGCACTCATCATAGACCTGGGTTTCAATCCAAAATATTCGTGAATGTTTGAAATAATAACTATAAAAAAAAAAAAAAGAAGATGAAATTCTAGATTTTTATCCTCTTCAGAAGATTCAGCTCGTTTGTCAATGAGAAGAAAACAGTCAGAAGCAATCAGTGTTGCTTAGACATGGAGGTAAAGGGGCTGATGAGGAATCCTTATCCCATAGGGTTCTGCCTGGAGAGCATCCCCTGACCTGGGCAGCAGATTCAAACACACACACAGCAAAATGCCTGGAAGGGCTGAGCTGTTCAGGAGGTTTCCAACAGAACCAGAAGTGATGCTTCCCCAAAGTCGCTCAGATTCAGACTGGAGGGACAGAATGGCCAAAAAGCTTTGGGGGTTGCGCTGCCATTAGAAAGACAAAAAGGAAGCAAAGAAAGATTTTCAGCACTCCCATCAGCTCAGCTATTGGGAAGTCTCCAAAACACCAAATTTCACTGCTGCTATGGAGGAAAATCTGGGTGGATGGAGAAAAAGTCCTGAACCCTTAGAACTGCATCGCATCGGGGGGGATGAAGGGAGAAAGGGGGGAGGGGAGCAGGCTATGAAACCAGATCCCTTGTTTACATGCTAATCCACATCCCAAAATGAATGGGAGAGAGAGATTAAGAAATTCAGAATGCAAAGAATGCCACAGTCCAGGGAGGGTCACAAGGATCTGAACTGATGGAGGAAACCACGTCTCCAACCACCCACCCCTGCCCCAGAAACTTCTCCAGATAGGTCCAAGCATCCGCACAGGCAGAGCATGTGTTCTTCACATACGTGACCAGAATGAAATGCACCACGGAGAGAAAAGAGCCATTTATGTCCCCGCACCGTCATTCTGCTGGTGGCATCTCATTTTCTCCCCCTTAAAAAGGAAGAAGAAAAAGCCCCTCCGAGGAGCCAGCACCCTGAGCACTCACTGCCCATCTCCATCAGCGCCCATCCTGCAGAAGGGCTGCGTGCCACAGGGCAGCATCCTATGGGGCAGCATCCCAACTGGAGCCAGCATCACTCAGCCCTGAGGTCCGGCTCAGCTCCTCACAGTGCATGGAAATCTTCCTCCCGAAGCACAGCCCCTGCTTGGCTTTGGCTCCTTTGGAGCCCTGTGGTTAGAATTACAGAGGAAGTCATGAATAAATAAACCCATCTATTTGCTTTGCTTGTAAGCAGGTCCGACTGGATTTAAACCCTTGTCGTGAAGTGCCTCTCTTTGGAGAAGCCCAGTTCTGCTCCCTCCGACCTCTGCTCCACACAAGGCTTTACTCCAAATAAATAACTCTGCTCATCACCAATTCCTGGCTTTTTATTCACCGTGTTGCAGAGCTGGAGCTCCTCTCATCGCTCACAAACTCAGCACAAGATCTGAGCTGGGAGTGAATGGATGGGGGTCTGCACACAGGGGAAAAAGGGGGAGGAGCAGCTGAAATAGTTGTAAGCAGAGAACTGCAGGTCCCAGGAATGCATCCTGGTGTCACCTCCCTCCTGCTTCATGCCAACACTGCTCTTTGTGCCCATGGGATGTTAGCAGCCATCTGTGGCAGTACTACAGCACTCACAGACCTGCAGAACTGCCCAGCAGCCCCACGCAGACATCCCAGCTCTTCTGAGGAGCTGACACCTTGGAAATCAGGAACTGAGCAGCTTGATGCTCTCAGCAAACCCTCCCCAGTTCTGGATAGGGTGTGCTGGGAAGATAAACGCTCAAACCGATGCAAAGGGATGGAGCAAAGTGCTACAGAGCAACCTGGAGCGTCCAGGAGATGGAGGAGGTAATCTCATCTATCCATTGTCAATCCAATGGGGATTTCTTGCCCTTGCCTCCTGTGCCCATCAATGCAGCATGAGGGGCAGAGCACATGGCTCAGGAGAAAAGCATACCAGCAACACCCTCTCATCCAGAATGCACAAACCAAAGCATAGCTGCTTTTTTGAAGAACCAGCCCTGCCCATTGACAAAATGCCCTCTGCTGCTCCCCAGCAGCCCCAAACCCAAGGGGAGATCACTCTCATTCAATCCCAGTGCATCCAAAGCCCTCCCAGCATCGCTGTCGGTGCTGAGGCAGCAGCCACACGTTCAGAGCTGCCCATCCCACACGGGCATACAGTGCTGTGTGTCACACAGACAGGCAGAACCCTCAGCAACAATCCCAAATTAGGTCTGGTTCTGTTTGTTTGTTTTCAATTTTTAAATCTCACTGGGAAATACCCCAACAATAGATTCAGCTGTCGGGATCTCCTTTCACATCGAGGAGGGTGGCCAGAGCCCTTCATTAAGAACTCTGCTGGCACTTCCCCCAGGACTGGCACAGCAGCAATGACAGGGACCCAAGCAGGGGGCACTGACCCGCTCCAAGCCGGGCTGGGAGCCAGCAGGAGAATGGGGCCAGCTGCCACAAGCAATGGCAGAGCACCACCAGGGCAGCCCCTTCTTGCTCAGGGTTTCTCTTCCCTTTTGCAAAAGCCCCAAGTGATGCTTTCAAAGTGATGCTCTGAAAGGCAGAGTTGCTCCTTTGCTGCACTGCCAGGGGAGAAGGCAGAGCAGCAGTAGCTGTGATAAAAGTCAGGTGTGTCCCCATCCCACCTCACCCTACAGATGTGCTTCCTTCCAGAAAGTGCATGGAGGTTGCACCCCACCAGCATGGCAGTGAGCGTGCAGTCATGCTGCTTTTCATAGAGCCACAGAACGGCTTGGGATGGAGGGGACCCCAAAGATCACAGATCGATTCGAGTTGGAAGGGAGACCACTGATCCAGATTTTATGCAGACAATTTGATTTGTCTTCAGCCCCAAAGCACATGGCCTGTCTAGTGAATTCCTACTGGAGAAAGTTTCAGCCCCACGTACCACGAGCAGCCCTGCATTACAGCATCAGTAATGGTGGGTCAAGCTGCACAGATCCACCAGAGCTGCACATACACAACACGAGGCTTCTGCAGGATGCTCCCTTACATCCAATTCCTTTCTCCACTCCCTACCACAGTTTCCTCAAGGCAAAGGTGATTCAGAGCACCAGGGCACGGAGCACTTTCAGTAAAGCACAGCCAGGCACCAACCTTCCTCTCCTCCCAAAACCATTTCTGGAGCTCTTGGGGACAACAAGAGAATGGCTAAAGCTGGAGAGACACTGGGAGACCCACTAGAACTGAACAACATTCACGATGGAGATTCAATCAAATGCAAATGCTATGCAAATTTAGGGGCTGGAAAAAAAAAAAAAATACAACAGCACATCCCTGATTCAATTAACAGCATTTATCTAGTTAAGCTTTGATTCAGGAAAGCACTTAATCCTGTGCTTAATGTGTTGTTGGTAGTGGTTCTTAATGTTTTAAACACTTCTAAATAGGAAAATGTGGTTGCTAAGACACAAACATTGCTGGGGGACTCAGAGAAAAGTTGTAGCTGAAATCATGACTTTTTCCCCATATAAACTGATATGCTTGGAATTTGTCAGCATCTCTGTGAGGTGGGAATATCATCCCTGTACAACCTTTATTGACAGCGAGATAAGAGCACAGAGAGGGAAGCACCTGCTCCCCATCACACCTCTGAGCACAGCCCAGCAGGGCTGTCCAGGTGGGATCTGCCCCAGGCTTCAGCCAATTTGCCTTTGATTTTCACTGTCCCTTAAGCTGACGCGGCTCTCAGCTTCCCCACATGGCATTAAACTCACTGACACACAAGGCAAAAAGAAACAAAAAACAATCCAACAGCAAAACCATGTTCCAAATTCACCAGGTGATGCTCAAGGAAGCCCAGAATTAATGCTTCCTTGGAAGCAGCATCGCTACAATTTGAGATATACTGAACCAGAGGCAGAGATATTGGAATTTCTTTCTCCTGCTCCTCCCAGAGGTGCTGCAGGTTCAAGTTTGA